ATCAATTTTTTTGCTTCAGGGACCTTGCATGGGAGTGTTTTTTTTTTCTAGGTATGCCATTATAGGCTTCCTCCAATCTTTTCCATTGGTGATTAGCATGATGCAGCTCAGTTTCGGGATACTTTGTTGGATCACAGTTATGTAGTTTCCCGAGCTTTTGGTACTAACAAGCTTTGACAATATATTTGCTCTAGTGTTCTTATTTTTTGAGATGTATTGAACTATAGCTTCATTGAACTCGGCCAGTATTTCTTTGACTTTAATGAGATACTTCATCATGAAGAGGCCTTTAGCTTGGTATTTCCCCTCCACTTGTGAAGTCACGAGTTAATAGTACTAAGAATTTTGATTCTTTTAGCTCCGAGTTCCCTTGCCTGCAATAGGCCTGCAAGGAAAGCTTCCTATTCAGCCTGATTGTTTGAGGTTTGGAATTCGAGGTGTAATGAATGTTCAATGGACACTCCCTGTTGGTTTTCAATTATCACCCCGGCTTCGCTTGAGGTTCCTTGCTGAGGTTCATATGATATGTCGAACTCTGAGAGTTCTATTGCCCAATTTATCATTCTTCCAGCCAAATCTGGCTTATGCAACACTTTTCGGATGGGCTGGTTTGTCCTTATGGTTATTCGATGTCCTTGAAAATAAGTTCGGAGCCTTCTTTCCATGGTCAACAAGGAAAAAACAACCTTTTCCAGCCTATGATATCTGAGCTCTGGTCCTTGTAAGGTCTGACTTACAAGGTACACTGGCTGCTGGCCCTTACTTATTTCTCGTGCCAGTGCGGCGTTGACCGCTTCTTCGCCCACAAAAAGATATAGAATCAGCATCTTCTGTGACTCTGGCTTTAACAACACCGGTGGGGTTGCGAGACATTTCTTTATCTCCTTGAAAGCCATCTTACATTCTTCTCCCCACCTAAATTCAGCTTCCTTTTTTAAGAGTTTGAAGAAGGGGAGGGACTTCTCTGCCGACCTTGGTAGAAACCTTGTGAGGGCGGTAAGCCGTCCTGTAAGCTGTTGAATTTCCTTCTTATATTATGGCTCTTTCATTTCAAGTACAACTTTACATTTGTCGGGGTTAACTTATTCTCCTGTTTGTGAGCATGAAGCCCAAAATTTTTCTTGCCGCTACTCCAAACGCACATTTAGCCGAGTTCAACCTTATGCGCTAGGATCTTAACTGTTCAAATGTCTCCTTCAGATCGGCCACATGATCTTCGAGCCACACTGATTTCACTATCATGTCATCTATGTATACTTCAAGGTTCCTTCCAATTTGCTTGTCAAAAACCTTATTCATCATTCTCTAGTACGTTGCTCCCGCATTTTTAAGGCCGAATGGCATGACATTGTAATAGAAATCCCCTTTTTCTGAGATGAAGGCAGTCTTTTCATGATCAGAGGGGTGTAGAGGGATCTGATTATATCTCGAAAATGCATCTATGAATGAAAAGAGCTAAAATCTTGAAGAGTTATCCACCAACTGATCTATGTTAGGCTTGAGATAAGAGTCCTTAGGGAAGACCTTATTCTAGTCGGTATAATCTACGCAAAATCTCTATTTCCCACTCAGTTTTTTGACCATCACCACATTTGACAGCCAGATGGTGTATTGTATTTTCCTTATAAATCCGGCCTCTAGAAGCTTGTCGACATGTTCTTTCTGAGCTTGACGTTGGTATGGGCCTATCTTTCGCTTATTCTGTGCTACCGGTTTAGATCCGGGGTACATGGAGAGCTTGTGGCAGCAGAAGCTGGGGTATATGCCAGGTATTTCTGCCGCCTTCCAACCAAAAACATCACAATTCTCCTTCAAAAATGAGATTAATTTCTTCTTAATCTCGGCTTCCATAGTCTTGCCGATCTTTGTGCATTGTTTATCACTTCCTTCAACAATGACCTGTTCCAATTCGCCCTCTAGTTCAGTCCTAGGAGTTTGTAATTCCTCTCTCATATCTTGCTCAACCATATTAATTTGGTTGCCACACGGATGAACCAATTCTGTGTTGACAGAAGTCCTTTCACTTTCTCGGATTCTAGGTGGCGAGTTGGGACCACCCTGACCTATTCTGAGAGTTTCGTAACAACACTCTCTAGCTTCCCTCTGGTCTCCTTTAATGGTGACAACCTTATTTTTTGAGCCCACTATGTTCAATTCCTCATGTTTGGTGGAAACGAGCATGTCCCACTCGTGAATTGTAGGACGACCAAGGATGACATTGTATGATGAAATTGCGTCCACCACAACGAAATGAACACGGCCAGCCCGAAATGAATCCTTTGTTCCTAAGATGAGCTTCAAGTTGATGTATCCCTTAGGAGGTGACTGTTCTCCATTAAATCCACTAGCTTGGTCACACATGGCTTCAGATCTTGCTTGTTGCGAAATCGGCAAGTATACCGTTTGTTTCAAGTAATAAAAGTGTGAGTAGAGTATCGTTCCCACGAGGATTAATGCACCAAGTACTATTCTCACTATTCCCTTTAATTTGGACAAATCAATTTGATGTAGAGAATAATTGTTGAATTAAAATAAAACAAAAAGTAATTTTAAAATCAATCAAGAACATCCAAGAAAATCAAGAACGTCAAAGAAAATATGAGTGATTAAAAATTGTAAAAGAAACTGTAGCCAAGTTGTTGACTGGGTTCTTGAATATTGATTTAGCTAATGGAGATCATGCATCCAAGCCTGACACAATCAAGTCTTGGTTAAGTTCCGTACCTTTACGACAGTTTGTTTGAACCACTCTAGGTACTTTCGCAGCGTCTCTCCCTTCTCTTACCGAACTCGCCCTAATATGTAAGTCGGCATTGGGTGATCCTTGCTGGTGGCGAAGTTCAAGCGAAACGTGTGTGCTAGATCTTCGAACGAGTCGATAGAGTGCCTGAGCAACCTATTTATCCAAAACATGGCTTGCCCAGTTAAGGTAGTACCAAAAATTCGGGCCATAATGGGTCCTGTTATCCCGTTGAACAACATCTCAGTTTTGAATGCCTCCAAATGGGCCTCTGGGTCCTGACTTCCATCGTAAGGTAGTACCTTGCACTTTCTGAATCTGGTCAGAATCGCCATATTCATCAGTCGATTGGTGAATGGATTATTGTTCTCTTGATTTTCATTTTCATCACCTCGGCCATATCCTTGACCTCGGATGTCATGATGCCCTTCATTGTGAACACTTCGGCCATCATCATGCTTTTCATCATCTTCACCTCGACCATTACGACCTAGGTTTTGATCACCATGGTTGTCAGCACCTCGATGGTTTTTATCTCCATTGTTGTCATCGCGGCCATTGTTTGCGCCGCGGTTATTGCGAACCTCATTTGCTTCTCGAACCTCGGAATGGTCCCTCATTCGAGGCTCCTCCCTATTTTGCTGAGCATTAACATTTTGATCTGCCAATCTGCCCTCAAGCTGGTCAGATCGCCTAGCGTTCTCGTTCTGCCGAGCTAACGCCCTATTCTCCATCTCAGCAAGCCTCTGAGCATCGAGTTGCTATCGAGTTAGAACTTTATTCTCCATCTCTTGGATGAGCCAGAGAATCTGATTGAGGGCGGTTTCATGAATCTGATTGACCGCCCCATGGATCAACACTGGTTGAGGTTGGTGCGGCGGTTGGTTCGCGATCTGGTTGTCAGACTCGGGAATTGTAACTGGTTGAGGTCAAAATGACGGTTGATTTGCCATCTGAACTACCGCATCAGGAATCACCAAGTTATTGTGGAAAGTTCCCCCAAGTTTTGATCCGAGCTCCGTTTCTTCCACCTGTACCTTGACCAGGATGGGATTTTTGCCACCCTGACCCGAAGCCTCTCCATCACGGCTTGCTGGTGTGGTGGCTGAGGATTATTTACTCCACTTCATGTATTTGCCATCGCGGAGCGGGAATCGAAATTTACTGAATCCCCACAGACGGTGCCAATGTTCGGTCCTAGAGAACCATAGGTCTATACCGTATGGTATGCGCTCAGAGATATCTTAGATATAGATATCTTGATTGGCTTATAGCCAATACTCCAATCACTGCACACTATCAATGGGCGTGTAGCCAAGACGTGAGTGTGTGCACAATGCTGGCAGTAATAGTAAATAGGTTAAAAGTGTCTACCTGTGGTATTTAGCCTTTTATTTATAGGATTACCTCTTGAGCTTGGGTTGTCAAGATCTCTTAGTTGATGTGGGATTTTGCCTCTCATTACTAGAGATATGGATCTTATCCTTTGCTCCTTATCATATTCTATTGTTGAGATACGAGTGAGATATATCCTAATCTCTTATTGGCTATGCAGTTAGGATATAGATCTAATTCATAACAACTTGAATTTTTATTGAACTAAGCCAATCCGATATAATGTTTGATTTATTTGTTTAAATAAATTTCTAGATAGCATGGGGCAATTTGTACAAAAAGAGTAAAAAAACTCAAATTCTCTATCCCAACCACCTCATCATCACACTTGGGATTTGTACTTACCTACTTCCCACTAGGGGTGGTAATAAGGCCAGGGATCTGCCAGGGGCCTTAGGCCCGGTCTGCTTAGGCCTGGCCCGACCTGTCTTTTTTATTACTTGGACTCAGACTTAAACTCAATTAATAGCCTTTTTATTTAAAAGGCCTCAGGCTTTCATGTGTGAGCCCGGCCTTGGAGCCCGGAGACTGGCCCGTCATTACATTTTTTTTAATATTAATCATTTCACAGTGTTAACAAAATAACAAGGTCACGCCGAAAACACAGATCAAGGTCACGACTCACGACGAAAACTTTAGGTCTCGGAAAACGCTGAATCCGAAAATACTGAAAGCAAAAATTGGAACTTTTCAGAAGCAGGTGGATAAAATCTACAGGTTGATTGTCTATTTGTCTTCCACCTTGCCACTAGTTATTATTTTAATCAATTTCACTTTGGTATATGCAGTGGAGTCTTGCATCACCGTCACCGCCTTGCTCTTTTTTTATTTTAATCATATAACTTTTAAGAAACATTATAAACCTTGATCTATTTTTCTTGATAATCCTTTCTTTGTTGCTTTTATTCTTCTTCTTTTTTAATAATCTATTGCTCGTTTATTTTTGTGTCTATAGTGATAATTAAATAAAACCTGCAAATGGTTATTCTAGAATTTAAACCTTTAAATGTATACTTTTTTTTATTGACATTACCCATTATATTATATACGATTTTCCTGAATTTATCAATTATTCTACCTTGAGTTTTGTGCAATTTTTTAGAATTTAAGATTTCTTAGGCTTGCTTCGATTTAAATAGTAGTGTCGGTTATAAACATGAAGTGTAGTTTTTATTAGGTTTCATGTGTTATCAAATATATAATAAACATGCAATTGATTTCAAGAAATCGCAGAAAGCATTACACAAAACACAAGAATTAAGGCCACAGGCTGAATTTATGAAATCTTTGTGAAATTATTAGTGCTGTTGATTGTATATTTTATTTGGATATACATTGAATTTATAAATTTTTGTGAATTTTTGTTGTTTTTTTTTAGAGCTGTCAAAATGGGTCAGCCCGACCCATTTAACCCTAGCCCATGTGAGTTAGGGCCAAAAAGCCCACAATGATATTGGGCCACATGGGCCAAAAGCCCTATGGGTTAGGGTCAGCCCGTGGGCCTTCCGAAAATTTAATGTGTATTTTTTTTGTTAAACAAAAAAGCCCATACTTAATTTTTATTAAACTGTTTGTAATTTTCCAATCTCAAGCAACAACCTATACCAAGTTCCAACTTGGTTTTCCAACAAATTTGATTTTATTTAACCTATACCAAGATCCCACTTGGTTTTCCAACCAATTTAAAGATCCCTAGTGAGTAGTGAATCTGAGGATTAGTGTTAGGTTGCTTAGACTGCCATCCCATTGCTTCACAATTCTTCATAATAATGCAGGTTTGCTATGAGGATTAGTGGCAGTCTCTCTTGGCGACTCAGGATTGCCACCAGACTTTTTCTCATCCCTAGCTTTATTAAAAATCACTGTGAACCCCTCAGCTGAGGCAGGATCATTGACATCCCATTCACCAAATTCTGGAAGTGGCTGGCCCTTTTCCTGTGGGATAATCAGATTAGCCAATGTGAAATAAAGATTTAAAAAACTATAAAAGAAAACTCCTTATTATGCTTATGAACTTGATATTTCATAAACTACGAAACTAATTAAATTGGAAAAGAAAGCTGATGATGGAATAGATTCTCTACATACTACAAAAATTTGATGCATGCATGCCTCGAATAATAATATTGGGTGCAAGATACCATTAAGCATAGAAGAATGACTGACCAAATATAACACTGTAAAAATGGAGAAGGTTGATTAAAAGCAATAGTTGTTAGTTTAGAACCCAAAATCCCTTATGATCATAATTCATAGGAATGCTTCTTTGGAATCTTCTAGGGTCTATTCATGAAAGTCGTTCTTCCAAATTCTTATTCAATCTCCAAAAAGGGAAGTCTTTCTAATTGACAACCCCCTTTGCTTATCCATAATCTCAAAGGTCAAGTCATTATTTGGAATTTGGACTGCACTGCTTGATATAAAACAGCTAACCACAAATAATTTGCAGCATGTTCACAAACAACACAAAGTTCTCTCTCATGTTTCTTTCTTTTCTATTTTTTTCCAACAATATAAGGAAAAAAAGGACCCAATAATTTATATATTATTAATACGAGATAATTTGTGTTAACCGTTTGACAGGCAACATAATACAATTTTTTTCATATTAATTTTTTTCAATACCTACACCACAACACAAATTTCTCATGTTATATTGTGCTATAGTAGTATTGAAAATTATCATTCATAATTTGATATACGTCACTGTTTGCATCATTTGTCACATGTATCCTTGTAAGAGTTCCCGATAAATCTACATGTTCCTTTATGTGATTTGTACCTTTACTAATTATTATTAAACACATGCTAATTTCTTCGTGTCATCAGAACATAAGCTGTTAAGACACAGGGATAATCATGGCAAGCATCTACACCTCACCCTCAACACTTGTTTTAAGAACCTTAACAAGCACAGACCTCAGTGCACTAACGACTCACCTCCCATTTTCTCTCTCTCACTTAGAACCCCAACGATGCATCATCTTCTACTCTTGGTGATCTTTAATCTGCTGCTAGTGTTTGCAGCAAGAATCGCATACTCAATCATTTGGGTCCCATGGATCATTGCAATACCTAATTTCTTTTCTAATCTCCAAAAACTGCTTAATATCTATGGTTTAGACTCTTTGGTATGGTATCAACGGTGAATGTTGGACTGTCCTGCAAGTTTGGAACAACTTCTATACCATTTCAAATATTTTTGGAAGATAAAACAGGGTAAGGC